TGTTGATGGTGGATCCGAGTAAAATGAAATCTTTGACAACTTCAATCTTTTCTCCATTTCTCATGATGTTTCCTATTGGTCCAGTGGGGAGGATTTTTGTTTTATTGATGTTGAAACATAACCCATATTGAAGACTGTAGTGTTTGGTCTTCTGCAGTGAGTGTTTGAAATCCTCTTTACTTTGAGCAAGCAAGGTTGTGCCAGCTGCATAAAGCAGGTTGTTGATGATTTTTCCTCCAATCCTGATGCCACAATCTTCTTCATATAGTCCATCTTCTCAAAGTATTCAACCTATAATTTAATTGGAGAGTTCTGGCGACTTAGTGGTAAGGAATTGCTCTGCCAGCACAAAGGTATACGGTTTGAATCCACCAACTGATCCACAGGATGGGCAGTCTTCTCCCTTTTGATTTGCTGTCTCTGCAAACCCACTGGAGAGTCAGTCAGCCCTGGGCTGGTCACACTCAATGGTACACAACAACAAAGATTAAGCAGCTATGGAAAAAAAGATACAGCCTTGATGTACACCTTTCCTGATTTTAAATCCTGCAGTATGCCCTTGTTCTGTTTGAACAACTGCTTCTTGGTGAAGGTACAGGTTTTACAAGTAGTAATAGGCAAGGATTCTGAAGCTCCGTCTAACATACTTTGGACATGTTGTGAGGAGAGACCGGTCCTTGGAGAGGGACATCATGCTTGGGAGGGTGGAGGGACGGTGCAGGAGGGGAAGGCCCTCTATGAGGTGGATTGATTCAGTGACTGGGATAATTGGGATGGGAGTGTCAGAGACAGTGCGATTGGCACAGGACAGAGCAGAGTTTATTGTATTTAGGGTCGCTATGAGTCACAGGCGACTCGATGGCACATAACAACAACAACAACAAAACAAATAATAAAATTAACAATATTATGCTTACTATTTACCAAGCATTTCCTATGAGCATGGCCATGTTCTGAATATGTTGCACACATTAACTGCTTGCTCCAAATGACTACTCTTTATCTTTTTAAAAATGTTCTACTAGTTTATTTACAAAATTCTAATACATTGTTTTCAAGAATAAACTCTTTCAATTTCTCACCCTCCTACCTATAAAATTGTACGACCCCATGATTAATCCCCCCTTCCCCTTGCACATCGTCATCCCTCTGTTTCCAGCCTCTCCCACCACTTCTGGATCCTTATACTCATTCTACAGTAATGATTTCACACTCAGTTCACTCAGTATAATGCTCTCCAGTCTCTCCCAAGTTAGGTAGTAATTTACAAAATCACTGCTCCTACGTGCTGCATAGTATTCCTTTGTGTAAATGTCCCATTATTTCCAATCCATTCTTTTGTGGTTGGACATTTGGGCTGTTTCATGTTCTTGTGATGGTGATAATGCTGCTATGAACATTGGTGTACAAATCTCAGTTTGTGCCTCAGATCTCATTTTCTCAGGGTATATTCCAAGCAGGAGAATAGCTGGGTCATATGGAATTTCTATGTTCAGCTTTTTGAGAAAGTGCCAAACTGCCTTCCAGAATGGTTGTACCATTTTACAATCCCACCAAAAAATGTATAAGAGTTCCTTTCTCGCCACATCCTCTCCAACATTTATTACTTGGTGCCATGTTAAACTTTGCCACTGTTAATGGAGTGAGATGGTACCTCATTGTGGTTTTGATTTGCATCTCTTTTATTGTCTGTAACTACTCTTTGAGACAAATAATCTCATTACAAGTAGGAAACAATAGCTAGTCCAAGGCCAGGTGCTAGAGAGGAAAGCTGTGTGTGAGTCAGGCAGTCTGGCTTCTACAGTCTGAGCACTAAGTACTAGTGCTGTTGTTGTGTGTCGTTGACTCAGAATTGATCCATAACTAATCTTCCAGTGGGTTTTCAGAGACAGTAAATCACACAAGAGGAGATTGTCCATCCTTTTCCCACCGAGTAGCTGGTAGATTGGGATTGCAGTGGAGCTTCTGACCACTAGACCACCAGTGCAGGAGAGTATTCTCCTCATTTTCACCCTGACTCCACAGAGAAATCTCCTCTGCTCTTATTTCTCACACCTGCTTTGGGTTTCGACTCCAGTTCTCAGTGAAGAAAATTCAGCAGAGAACAGTGCTCCTGAAATGTCCTTTACTTTTGCAAGTACATACACACACACATAATACACTACCACCCACAACTGTCTATCCTGTATCTCTTTGCATAGCACACTGTACAATTTTTTAAAGCACTTTGCTGATTTCAATCAACAGGAAGAACACAAAACTAAACCGTGATGCAGCTGATCTGACACAACCTAATGGTTTCACTTTAGATAATCTGATAAAGTGTTCACCTTTAACGGTTGAGCCAATGCACTATAATTACCAAGTTAAATTTACAGAAATAAATCCATCTGGGCTGTTTTCTAATCACCAAGGAGCTACCAAACTCAATCTGTAACTTCTTGATCTATATTTTTATTGTAAAATTATCATTAAAAATGATATTTTCTGACTGTAGTTATGCACAGAATCAGGAGATTAAAGAACTTTTAACTTCTCAAGGTGGGGCTGGGGGATCCCCATCGCCAATGCCAGCTCCTCCAAGGTCAAACATGGCCTGTGCTCCTTCTCACGGCTCCTGCCCATGACACTTTCTACTTCGTTTGCCTTCCATAATCAGTGCAGTGGCCACACAGAATTCACAGAGCCTATTCATGATTATGAGGTTTACTAGAGAAGTAGGAGATTACTTCAGGAACAGAAATGATTTGGGATCCAGTCCCTCGGTCAGAAAAGCCTCTCTCCTCAGCTGTGTGTAAAGCTGGCCTCTCTGGCTGGCCTGGTCCCTCAGCCCAGCCTTAGCTCTGCTTGTGTAAATGCTACAGGCTCTTTGAGTTCTGCTTTTATATAAGTGTCAGTGGCACCCCATTCCTCCAACAGGGTCCAAAACCAAAGTCTCTAATTCTGGGCTCAGCAAACCTAGCTCTCAAAAGTACTCACTCGCTCCTAAAGACATGCAGTTTTGTCACTTTGTGGGCCAAAAAGGCACTGTACTTAGCTTGTCCTGGTCTCCTTGGTCCGCTGCCACCACCACTCCTACCCCACTATAATCCATGATTCCTGGGTCCAGTGGAGGTATTTTCAGTCCAAGTGATGAATTCCACTCTAGTTTCTTGACAAAAGTGAGGTCTACATCTTCTGCCTCTGGATAGCTCTTGGTAACATGGGAGAATGGACTAAGCCCTGTGTCATTATCCTACACACTCTTTGCATGGCCTCACCCCACTAGAATGCCCTGTGCTTTAGTTACATTGTTTGTGAGACATCCACTCCTGTTGGTGGGCCACAAACACAGGGCACAGTTTCAATCTGTTGAACACAGGATTGCTACAAGTCAGGACTGACTTGACAGCACCTAATAACAACACACAATCCCTTGATGAAGCGATAAAGACCATTACCAGAAAGCATGTCAAGTAATTCATTCCACCACACGCACTCCACCCAATCAGCACCAGAATTCACAAAGGAAAGATTTCGAGGAAGGAGAAAAACAAGGACGGAAGTTGTGTCTGATAGTACTTAACATAACCCATAGTACTTAACATAACCCGTAGAAACTGTCTCGCTACCATCGATTTGACGCCAACTCATGCTTCCGAGGTCTTGACTCTGTGAGGAAGGAGACCACCACCTTTCTCCCTCAGAGAAACTGGCAGATTCAATCCGCTGACCTGTTGGTTGACAACACAATATATAACACAAGGTGCCACCAGGGCTCAGGCAACATCTGTTGTCTACGTCACAGAATACAAGGGTTAGAGAAAAAGCCTACCATCCCCATTACCTTTGTATGTATTGCTGTTGACCACCCCTTCCCCATGAGAATCACTTGGAATCATACGTCATGACAGAGCCATGTAGAAGAAATTAGTTACTTAAAATTTCTGTGTTCTGAATGAAAAAAAAGAAAGAAGTAATAATAATGCTCTATCATTCAATCCCACAAGAGCCTCTGAAATCCTGTGAGCAGGCCAAAGCCAAATCGCTGCTTGGAGTCAGAACCAACTCTGAGCTGACCCTCCAGCGGCTTTACAGGAGCTTTAAAAGCCTGTGAGAGGAGATTGCTTAGCTTTCCCTCGCAGAGCTACTGGTGGACTTGAACTGCCAACAAGGCCCCATCTCTGGGTTAGCAGTGCAGTTCCCTATGAACTAGGCGACCAAAGCTCCCTACCACACCAATAGTGTGATGTCGAGTACTCAGAACCCTGGGGGTGACCCACACTGCCAGATAGCAGCTGCTAGAAGAACATTCGATCCAAAATCAGTTGCCTTGCCTCTATGCCTCTCTGGCCTTGGAATCTCTCTGCAGCTCAATCTTAATCTTTTAAAAAACAAAAACAGTCCAATACCTTGCCCAGTTTTCCACCCTCACAGACAGGATTGATCAAGTGAGAGAATATGGAACAAGTAGGCATCTTTTGTAAAGGGTGTCATCTTTCTCAAGCATTAGTTTCCTTTTTTTTAACAGAAAATACCTAAAGTTGATCAAGAAAAGCACCACTGGTGTTTGAATTGAGGATATCAGAAGTGGATGGGCTTGAGGGACTTTCTGTTAAAGGTCTCCAGTGTGAAGAGGGCAGAGGTCTGCTTGCTTCTCCACAACCTACACCCCACACATACACCCTACCCCCAACACTGGCCTCCCATCTGCTTTCAGCAAGTTCATAGAGCACACAGTCATGCAGGAGCGTCTGAGAATCCTCAGTTCTCCTTGAAGAAACACATTGCCATCGAACACAACTGAGTGCCTGCTTAACTAGCAAGTCACTCTTGGATATTTCAAAGTGAAGCAGCAAGAAGACTGTGCGACTTTCTAGCTATTTATTTAGCCAGACTTCTTTTTATTTATGTTTGTCCCTTTATCTTCATGTGTTCAAATATCACCAGTAACTGCACTCAGATTTTCCATTTTCTCTACAGACGTCTTCAAGTCTTTGTCCCCCTTCTCTTTGTATTAGGTGCGAGGTGGGCACAGACACCTGGTCCCAGTGCAACGACACGCCTGTCAAGTTCGCCCGTTTCCCTGTCACCGGGCTGATAGAAGGACGCTCCTATATATTTCGAGTCCGAGCTGTCAACAAGAATGGAATCAGTTTCCCATCGCGAGTGTCAGAGCCCGTGGCAGCTCTGGATCCGGCTGAAAAGGCTAGACTAAAAAGTAAGGCTTTTGCTTTCAGCTTTCCTAAACATTCCCCCGACCCCCACCCCACCAACGGAGCCCTGGTGGAGAGTGCTTAAACGAAGTAAAGATTGGAGTTTTGGATCCCCCAGCTTCTCACTGAGAGAAAGCTATAGCAGTCCGCTTTAGGTAAAAGTTTACAGCGCTGGAAAAGCTCTGAGCCCTTCTCCTCAGTCCTGTAGAGCCCTAGGAGTCATAATTGACTCCAGGGCAGTGTGCTGGTTTGGGTTAAGCCTGTTTTCATAAACCCTACCAAAATAAGCATGGGGCCTGTCCTGGAGAGGCCATCATTTATTGGGAAAGTAGAGGATCTGTGAAAGAAAGACCCTCCACAGGATGAACTGACAATGGTGACTGAGCTGTGGGCTGAAACACAGCAGAGATTGTGAGGATGGCGCCCAGCGGGCAAGATTTCGTTCTGTTGTGGTAGTGTTGCTGAGTCAGAGCAAACTCCTAAACAGTGATGCACCTAACAAGGCAAAGAGTGGATTGAACACCGCCTTGGAACAGATGAGGGGAATAGTGGTCCGAAAGGAATAGACAGGTAGACATTCTAAGTATGCCAACAATGTGGATAAGAAGTGCATTGCAAAGTGAATTGTGGGAGGGGAAAGAGGAGGGAGGGGGGGAAATGGGCGGCAATGAATTAAGTCTCCCTGCAAGGTTATTCCTCTCTCTTCCACTAGAGGGAGAAGAACACAAGAAATCTTTCATTGGCCAGCCTATTCTAGGAGTAAAACATAGAAACCAAAATAAATATTTGTTATTTGATTCATCCATTTTCTAAAGGATTGTCTCTCCTTTACTCCAGAATACTTTGCCTCATTTAAGTGAATTCCATGCATTGTCTTAAATGAAATGTGAAAATCAAACACCTAGACAGCATTTTTGCTAACAATTTTTATTTTAAATTTCTTACCCTTGAAACTGGTTCTTAAGGCACTGATAGCACAGTGAGTTTCTTTACAGAAAAGGAAAAACAGATTTGCAGTATCATATGTAATTTATACTTGCCTTTCCATATCATACAGAAAAAAAAAATTTAAAATATTATTTAGTTCTGCGTTTCAATGTCAAAGCCATGGTACATGCATTTACTTAATAGGGACCCAGATGACCTCCATTATAATTGTTGCTATATATGCTGTCGAGTCAGATTCCACCCATAGCTGACCCTCAAGCAAGTTTCAGAGGCAGTTAATTGCATGGGAGGAGATTGCCCATTCTTCTTCTGCAGAGCCACTGATGGATTTGAACAGTGCACCTTTGGAATTGCAGTGCAGTTTCTTGCCACTGGGTTGCCAGAGTTCCCCCGTTATAATAGGCCACAAAAATTCATTGAAGAAATTGTGGGAATTTAACCTTTTATACCAGATTCCTCAACCTTGGCAATATTAATATTTTGGGCAATTCTCCTTATGAATGGTAGCTGTTCTGAATGTCATGTGTGTTGGCATCCCAGACCTCTACTCAGTCCATGCCAGTGTCAGCTTCTCTGGTTGTAACAAACAAAATTGCATTCACACATTTCAAATGTTGCTGAGGAGCTAGGTCATCTCTATGGAAGAGCCACATTCACAGTTACGTAGTTACATCACAAGAATCTAAACTCAAGCACCATCTTGCCCCAGGAGACTTGCCTAATAAGCCATTGATCACTCACCCTTTTCTAAGTATGCAGATCCTGGGTCATAACTTCACTTAATTCCTCTTTAATAAATTCCAGCAAAAATATGATTTGTTTGACTTGCAAATAACTTGCCTCATTTATCACCTTCCAGGTTCTGCACAAACTGTTAAAAAGGCTTTTGTTTAAAAAGAACAGTTGAGCTACTCTCTGAAGTCTCTGGAATCGTGCTAAGAAATTTTCTCTGCTGGTCTCATCTCTTTTTCTTTCTGAAAATCTAGATTCATTACCTCTGTAGATAACACTTTTCAAAATGTAATGGAGAAAAGTTGCTGTGAGGTTTACCTCGTCTTATATTCACTATGATGCATAAATCACCACTGACCTTACAGTTGTTCTAGAAACATCATTCCCAAATGCACATTGAATCTTAAGGGACTAGAATGCCTATTTCAGGAGATAACTATTAAACATAAATGAATATAACCTATTTTCTTGGGCCATGTACGTACAGTTCCGGGGGGGCATCATTCTAGTCAGTGAAGGCAAATAACTAACTAGGCTCAGGCAGTTAGTAGAGGTGCCCGAGAGGTGCGAACAATGATTGGACTTGACTACCAACTTAGAGGCTGAGCCCACTCGTTGGTTGTTGTTGTCAGGTGCCTTTGAGTCAACCATGACTCATAGCGACCCTCTAAACAACAGATCTGAACGTTGCCCTGCTCTGTGCCCTCCTCACCATCTCTGATATGCTCGAGCCCATTGTGACAGTAACTCTGCCAATCCATCATGCTGAGGGCCGTCTTCTCTCTCTCTGACACTTCACCTTTCCCAGGATGACGGCTTTTTTCCAAGGACTGGCCCCACCAGACAACATGGCCAAAATGTGTGGATCGAAGTTTCACCATCCTTGCCTCTAAGGAGCACCCTGGTCGCACTGCTTCCAGGACTCATGTGTTTGTTGTTTTAACAGTCCACAGGGTATTCAGTATTCTTCTCCACCACCACCCTTCAAGACACTGATTCTTTTAAAATCTTCTTCGAAAATACTGTGACTTAGACGAGGCATAGTTTAGAATTTAAACTGACTTTGCTGCTCTTTAGCACTTTGGAGAGGTCCTTTACAGTAGATTTACACAATGCAACATGTCTTTTGATTTCTTGACTGCTATTATTATGTTGGGTGTTGATTGTGGATCTAAGTAAAATGAAATCATCTTGAAAGAAAGACCTAGTGATCTGCTTTTGAAAAAGAAATGATGAATAAATAACCTGTGATCATAGTCCTGCTCTGACACACGGAGGCATCAACCCCAAGAACTATGGATAACCTGTGAGCACACTTCCACCATGACACACGGGTGCATCGACTCAAAGACAATTGGTTATAGCAGATTATCAGTCTCCAGGATGTTGTTGTTGTTGTGTACCATAAGTTGGAAGCGACCCATAGCTGACTCTCCAGTGGGTTTTCAGAGGCAGTTAATCGCAGGAGAGGAGATTGCCCATTCTTCTCCTGTGGAGCAGCTGGTAGCCTTGAACTGCATGACTTTCAGATTGCAGCATAGCTTCTTGTCACTAGGCCACTAGAGCTCACTATATCCAGGCTTCTATGCACATACTCAAAATAAGATTCCTTACAAAAATATAGAATTAGAAGCAAACTCCTTTCTTTATGACTACTCTGACCAGTTTACCTATCCATTTATGAGTGCATTTGAAACAGCTAATCTAAGCATTTGCTATTTTTATACTCTTCTTTGTTCTTTGTTCTTTGTTCAGGTCGCCCTTCTGCACCCTGGACTGGACAGATCATTGTCACGGAAGAGGAACCAACAGGTAAGAACTGTGGTTTCTCCGAATGTTATTGTCCTTGTACTGTAGGTTAGCTTTGTTATAAAGATGTGCTGTGTATTATTTGGAGAGTGTTCTAAATCAAAGGACCTATTTAAAGACCATATGGTCTAAGAATCACTGTTTTATTGAGCTATATTATTATCATATACTAAATTATGTGTGTATATGAAGTGCGTCATTTGATATATTTTGTATATGTACAAACCTCTGAAGCCATTACCAAGATCAAAATTATGAACTTAGCCTAGAATATTCTTGTGCCAGTTTGCAGTCTTCCCTTATCTGCAGGTCCATATTTAGCTGCTTTCTGTCTCTGTAGTTCTAGTATTTTGCAGAAGGGAGACCTGGTGGCATCGTCCATAGGAGCAAGGCTGCCCGTCCAAAGGCAGCACCTCTCTTGTGGTCTGAATCCACCTGTGGCTCCTCAGGAGAAAATGGATAATCTCCTCCCATGTGACTTACAGCTTTGGTACTTGATGGAGGGTCTTGCCATGAGTAGTTCCAATCCTATAGAAATGAGTGAGTATTTTAGATCAATAAAACTATACAATAGATACGATTTTTGTCCAATTTGTTTCACTCAGCATAATTAGATTTCTCTAGAACGGCATGTATACAAGTTGATTAGGATTTATTTAATCTTCTGTTAATGAAACTCTCATGAACATTCTTGTCACATATGTATGTGGACAGAATCTTTAAATTCTCTTGCATAAATATATAGGAGTTGGGTGAGTAGGTAGGTCATATGGGGTAATTCTTTAAAGAAACACAGACTTTAAGGAAAGATAGGCTTTCAAACTAAGATTTTACACAACTACCAACAAGATATTAGAGTTTCAGTTGCTCCACATTATCACAAGTATTTGAATGCTGATTTTTAAATGTTAGTCTGATAATTGGTGTGTGGCTATGATAATCAAATTTAATTTCCTTTTCTGTAGTGGCTAACAATACTGATATATTTCTAATTTGCTGTATTTGTATCATATTTGACATCTTTGACAAATAGACTGCATTAAGATATTCTATCCTCTTCTAGAAATTTTTATTATTTTACTTCTTATATGTCAGTCTCTTAATCAAGTCAAACAGGTTTTTTTGTAAGGGTCATTTTTCCCATCTGACAATTGAATTGTTTTAGCAAGATCTGTTTAAAAGATGAACTTACCTTAGAATATTCTCCGTTTCCTTCGTTAGCATGCTTTGATTAATATCTTTGTAGAAATCAATGAATTATATCTTATTTGGGCCAATTTCTAGAATGTGTCTCATAGATCAGTTTGGTTCCTTTACACCAATACTTAAGTGTCTTGATTACTGTAGCTTTAATAAATGGTACTTGTTTTGATAGGCCTTGCAGTCTTAAAATCACATAGCAGAAGTCAGGTAGAATGTGTCATCTTGTTTTTAAAAATTGTTCTGTCTGTGTTAAGCCTTCATGTTTCCATATAAACTTTAAAGTTAATTTCTGCAAAATGCCTAGTGGGATATTTATTGAGAATGTATTCAATTGAAGGGTCAATGTAAGGCAAATTGACATGTTAACATTTAGTCTTTTAAGATAGTTTCGAATGCTACGTATTCATTTTACTAACCTTTAATTCTCCAGTGTCTAATTTGCATTGCAATCGTGTATATTTCATTGAGACTTAATAGTTTTCATCTCTAGAAGTTAAATTTGAATCTTTTTTATATTTTTCATGACTTTATATAACTTGTTTTAACATTCTGAGTTTAGCTATCCTGTTTTTATGCCCTTGTCCACTGATTCTGTAATCTGATTCTTTTTTGGTTTATTAATGGATTTTTCTTATTATAGGTTGTTACTAAGATTAAAAATTTTTTTTCATACATGATAATTTGTCATTGGATGCCAGACATTTTGAGTTTGACATTGTTGTGTGCTAGATATTTTTTTATTTCTACACAAATTTGTAGTAGCATTGTTCTGAGATTGGTCAGTTGCAATCTTTTTGTTCTTTCAGGACTTGCTTTTTTCTGGTAGAATCAGCACAACTTTAGTTTGGAGTAATTTGACTACATCACGTAAGCTTTTCTGAATAATACAGAAAGGCCCCTCTGAAAAGTCAGGACATTTTCCATCCTGACTAAAGGGATCTAATGCCCCTGAGCCTGGAGAGCTTTGAGAGTACTCCCTCAAGTTCATAGTGTGATTTCCAAGTCTGTAGTGTGCTGTGGGGGGAGCTCTGGTAGCTTAATGCTAAGGAAGGAGTAAATTGTGCTGCTGACCCAAAGGTATGCAGTTTGAATCCACCAGCTCCTCTGTGGAAATAGATGGGCAAACTCTACCTGTAAGATTTACCTCTAAAATCTTGTGGTAGGATCTGCTGTGAGTCAATGGTGCATAACAACAATAACAATCACAATAACAACAGTTGGGAAAGATGGGCAGCCTCCTCCTGCTAAGACTCACAACCTTTGAAACCCACTGGAGAGTCACCATGACTGAAATTTCTTAGATAGCAGTGAGTTTAAATTTTCCCAGCCTCACTCAGACAATATTTGAATGAATGACTAACCTTGTAGGGAGGAGTTCAGAGACACGATACTTCCTTAAACTGAGGAACAGTAATTAACTCTTCCCACATAAAAGCAGTCTGTGACTTTGTGGGTGTCTTGGGCTACTCAGAATGAATGCTTCTCCTTTCTCATCTTATATTCCAGAGGGTATAATTCCAGGGCCTCCCACAGCCCTGTCTGTGACAGAAGCTACCCGGAACTACGTGGTGCTGAGCTGGAAGCCCCCAGGCCAGCGGGGTCATGAGGGCATCATGTACTTTGTGGAAAAGGTAAGACTCTGAGAGCAACATATATATCTCCTGCAGTTTTCCAACAATTTCTTTAAGAAATAGGTGGTACAATTCTAGCAGAGGAAGACATGGGGGCGCTTTAGTGTGGGCTCTACAGTCCTGTAGCAGGAAAAGGGTGAGCAATCTCCCCCTGTGTGATTAACTGCCTCTGAAAACCTGCTGGAGAGTCAGCTATGGGTTGGTTTCAACTCTATGTACAACTGTACACTGGGAAGTCTCTCCACAGGAAAATGTGTATTACACTGAGATGTATTTGTGAGTCCAGGGCTCTTATTGGCACTTGAGGTTCATTCACAGACCACTAAGCCGTCCACAGACCTCCAGATCATATGCTGTCTAGTTGAGTATGACTCATGGGACTCTATGAACAGACCTGAACCCTGTCATATCCTGTGTCATCTTCACACTTCCTGACACAATAGAGCCCATTCCTGTGGTGAGTGTGTCAAACCACCTGGCTGAGGGTCTTCCTCTCCATTGATTGCTGTCTTTCCACCTTCTCAAGCATGATGTCACTCTCAGAGGAATAAGCTCTCCTAACGGTTAGGCTAAAAATAAAAATGGAGGTTAAAGCACAACTCAGAAAGTCCCGTGTCAGGACTTTTCCTAAAATCAGAACTCAGAAAGTCTTATGTCAGGACTTTGTCCAAAACCAAAAAGTCTCATGTCAGGACTTTTCCCCAAACCAGAACTCAGAAAGTCCCATGTCAGAACTTCTTTCAAAACCAGAAAGTTCCAGAAACTTAATGCACCAGTGCACTACTGCAACGCCAACTCATCTCACAACCCTCCTAACTGTACTAGCCAATAAAGAAATAACATGCTTGCTAAAGCCCCATATAAACTCTCCCAAACCCAACCCCCAGCACTACTCTCATTGCTGAGTAGCCCAGCACAATAAACTTTGAGAAATGTTTATACCTCGGTGTGGTTCTTGGCCTTCAACCCAAAACATTTCATCTGGTGCCAAAGTTGGGCAGGAGAACACCCAAACTGGATGATCCCTCCCAATCGATTGGCCCTGCAGGTGGCCCCTTCCCATGCCTGCTGAGCTCCTGATGACAGGGGAAGAGCTCCTTACAGGTAAGCGGAGATTCTACAGGTCTATCTTGTCTCGCTGTCCCCTGGCCAAGAAGACTCTCTTGTGTTCTGCCCCAGTCAAAGAATACTTTGAGCGGGGGTGGCTATGCTTCCATTTCTGTGGCATCCTGTCTAGCACAGGGATGCTCTCTGCCTCTCAGACTCCTTTCTACCCTCCACCCCTGCCATGGGCTCAGCCCTGTCTAAGCCATCTTAATCTATACCCTTAGGCTGCCTTCTGTCCAGCCTTTCTTCCTTAGGACTGGAGGAATATGTCAAACCAAAAAAAAACCCCTGTATTAAATTTAGTACCCAAATCTGGCCACAGTACCATTTAGACAATGGGACCGCTTGGCCAGAAAATGGAACCTTTGAATTCAATATCCTACAAGATCTTGATAACTTTTGCAAGCAAACTGGCAAAGCTGTTGAAATCCCTTATGCCCAAGACTTTTCTACCTCTACTTTCAGCCTCTCTCCTTCAATCCTGCCATACCCACCAGTTCTTCTGGCTACAGATTCCCCTGTTTCTCCTGTTTCCTCTCCCTCCTCTATGTCCTCTACAGATCCTCCTAACTCACAACAACTATCCCTCAATAACTCTGACTTCGACCCCTCTGACTCAGCCCCTCCCTTATGTTCTTACTTCTGCCCTCAGCCAAGTACCTGATTCTAGTCCTACATACTCTTCAAACCAAACCTCTAGCTCGACTGATCTAAAAAAAAATTCTCTCCCGTCCTCTCCACACACATGCTCATGATGACCCCTAGCCACCCCCTCTGTACCAGACTCTTCTACCCAATCCCTAGCCTACCCTCGACCCCTTCCACAAGGTTACAGGAGCTAAGGATATAAAGTCCGTCCTCGTATCCCCTTCTGTCTTTTCTCCAGTGATCCTGAACATACACCAAAGAGTTTAAATATCTTACCCAATCCTAGGATCTTACATGGCATGACCTGTATTGATCTGCCTCTTAACTGCCCCTCTTTGAACTGCTAAAAAGACACCCTTCTCAGGGAGTGGGGGGTTTCCATCTCTTGCCATTCTGGCCTTCCAAACAACACCAGAGCAATTTAAGGTAGGTAGCAGTGGTTATCCTCTCTTAAATCTCTGGCCCATGTCGTGAGCAGACCTTTTTGTGAAAACCAAAGGTAATTAAAGAATGCCCTGGAATCAGTCTCTCTCTCTCTGTCTCTCTCTCTCTCTCTCCACACACCCCTCACTACTTACTCCTCCCCAATCATGGGAGCCAACCAATCCTGCTCTTCTCAGTACACTCCACTGGGGGAGGGGAGTCTCCTCCACTCCCTTGATACTCTTTTATTGCAAGAACACAGTATAGCTGCAGTACCAATTAAATAATAGGTCTCAATAGCCCTAAATAGGACACTAGAGTTCAACACGTTCAGAGATTTTGGCAATTTCCACTAATGCAATGGCAAATGGTCAAAAATCCCCTTCTTTACTCTCTGTTCTCTGTCCTTCTCTTTGTCAAAACTACCATACTTGGCAAATTCTTCTCTTTCTAAACCTTTTTCCCTACCCAATCAAAAACTTCCTCACCGTTGATCTCTCTGATCTCTCAAGCACCTCCTACCCTACTTCCTGATCTCCCACCACTGTCAAATACAAAAACCCCTTTCCTTTCCTCCGTATGTCCTATCCAAGACACAGCCTGAAATTGCAGCCAAATTTTTTTCCTATTCGGTTTTTAAGTTCATATCTAACCTCCCAGTTAAGAGAAATCTTAAACAAATCTTAAACTATAATATCACCTTTTTTCCCAACCATAACCTGCAGATAAATCTCATCTCTCTCCTTTTTCTGACCCCACCCAGTAAATAATCCCACATCCTCCCCTAGCCTCCAGACCAAACATCACATATAAAGGAGTCAAACTCCTTTGCCCTTTCCCTCCCTCCTCCTAAACTTCCCCCCACCCCATTTCAGCACATTACCCTCTATCAAAATTCAGCCAACTAGTCCCTAAAAACATATCTATCCAGCAACAAAAATCTTCTTTCATTTTTTTGCCAAACTCATTTTTTCTCTTTTCAAGGAAAATTCTGTAACACAGTAAAAAAAGTCTTAAATATTAAAATTTCTCCAGTTTTTCTAACCTGCTCTCTATACTGATAAACTAATGCCTCCTCTCAGTAAAAAAGAATTTAAAATAGGGTTTTTTGCTTTTATTAAAACAAGTTTAAGAATTTTATTTTATTTCCTTTTTCCTTAAAGCATTTTCTACCCACTTTAAATTTTTTAGCCAGAGTTCAGAACTGAAAAATTTTTCCAAATTTATTTTTTCCTTTTTGTTCAAAATTATATACAAACATCTCAGTAAAATAAATAACATTTATGAAGAACCAGTAAACTACTCTAAATGAGCACAAATAATACAAAATAATAAGAACCTTGCAACTTAAAACCTAAGTCTTCTAAAATTCTCATTCTACTATTAAGTCTGCCCCTACTATTAAAATAAAATGCCAGGAAAAAACCAACAACTGTAGACCACCAAAGTAACTGAGACTAATGTTTTAACTGTTACTATTTCCGTATTCAGTAATGGCATCTTAGAAAAGAAAAAGGACTATCTGAAAGCCAAATGTCTTAACACTTCTATCACAGAATATTTAAACATTTTCATCCAGCAAATGCATCCAAAACCTCCAATTTCAAGCCTTTAACTTTCAGTATAGAAAGACTCATTACAGTCACATAAACCACAGATATCAAAAGATGTTTCAAGAGAGAGTAAAGGGGCAAAAGGGAAGCCTCTTGCTACTTGTTTTCAATGCAGTATTCATAAACACCTGGCTCAGCAATGCCCCAAGCCAGTATTGGTAGCAAAAGAGCAATCAGACTGACAAGGCCCTAGCCCCCTCAAGGGTGTTAGGAGTGACCAGGATAGCATCACTGTAAGCCTGGAAAAGCTTTGCGTATACATGGATGTTGCCAGTAAAAAGAATTTACTTTCTTTTGGACACTAGTATGGGTCATTCTGTCTTGAGATTTTAAATAACCTTCTTTCCTTCTGCCAATTTACTATTGCAGACATTAAAAAAAATTAAATTAAAAAACCCAAACCCAACATGTATAATTACTTACCTCCCCTCCCCCCAGTCATTTTTATGACCTCTTATTCTCAACTGTTATCCTATGTGTAGTGCCTAATCATACATTCTTTTTAATCAGTTCTCTCCTTTATCTGTTCCAATGCAATGGTCATTATCTATCCATTCTTATCCTGTTCTCCACCCAACCCCCTCCCCCACGTCAGACTAGCTTTATAACAGTGATAATTTGTAGCATGTGTCCCTTTGTGACTAGAGTATTTCACACAGCATAATGTCCTTTGAGTTTCCCATGTTGTAGAGTGTTTTACAAGTTCATTGTTTTTCAGTAATACATAAAATTCCATTATATAAATATACCATCTCCTTATAATACTTCCATCTTATCAGCCCAGAAGTTATTTAATATTCTTTACTATATCTCTCCATTCTGACTCTTATCCTTTATTTGTCTTTCCGTAAACTAACCCAGAAACAGTGAGAATCAATTAATATAATTAAGAAAAATATTTTAGCCAAGTTGTTCTGACAAACTCAGTCTAACAAAAATCACGGTATTGCTGATTACCCTGTTATATATTAAAATAGTTCCTCAACAAATATCCAAATTGTCAACATATAATATCTGTCTTCAAACTCATGCAAAAGTAAGTTATCTTTAGAACCAGACTCCAGTGCAATCCAATCCTAATGAGCTTCTCCAGTCATTCTTTCTCCCTTTTCATTACTAACTGCATCTCAGAACTCAATCCTAGGAACCCCCTCCACACTATAGATCAGTTGCTGTTCTCTACCACTGATCTCTGATTACAAAGGTCTC